TCAGCTAAAAAAAAAAAAAAAAAAAACAAGGTTTAATCTCCAACCTCAGATCATTCACAATTTGTAAGACAAACAAGGATATAAATGAATATGTTATTAATCATGTTATTCATGAACTGTATAAATGAAAAATAATGATATAACAGGGCTTTTTTTAGAATATGAGTCTAAAAAGTAACATTTGAAAGTATCTGAATTTCTCTTGGGTATATCTCTTAAATTTTTTTAGAGTGTAAGAATACCATGTGTGTTAGTTTCCTTTTACCTTGAAAAGTTCATTTCTTTCTAAAAGTTGATTGATTGAACAAATTATAGCTAATCAATTTTTATTTAAAAATATTAAATATTTTATTTAAACAATATTTAAAAATATTGTTCTGATCATTCAAGCTGGTACTTCTGATATCTGCCTCTTCTTGATAATGACATCAGGAGTTATTTTTAACAACTCGCCCATTGTTAACCTTTAGAAATAACCTATTTTAATGTAAAAATTTTGCTTTTTAGCTCTTGCTTATAAATAGAATCTTATCTTATTGAATTATTACATTGAAGTAATATTTCACTGAGTTAAATTCTACTTAGTGAATTTCATTTTTTAGAAACCAGCTTTTATTGATAATAATGAAATTCAGTACCAGTAATACCAAAAATGGACCACATATGATGAAGAATTATCTAAGTAAGTTATAAACTAGGCAACATGAGGAAAATGTTCTTCTTTAGATTAACTATTAGACATGTTTGGCTTATTTGGTGGAAAGGTGTGAGTTCTCAATGGGAAGAAAATCAGATATTTCAGAATGCAGAGACTTAAGTGTAACCAATCAAACATGTTAAACCTTAAAACTTCTAAAGAAAGAAGACCTTATATCAGACGCCTAGGAGAAGTAAAGGTTATCAACATCACCATTTTATTTTAAAAAAAACAACACCTTGGCTCAGAATAGTTGGGATGGAGAGGACAAGATATTAAAAAAAATTAGATCAGTAACTATTTTAATAAACTGTAGAAGTATAATTTGTATAAGAATCATGAAATAACCATTATAAGGTATTTCAAATTATATATTTATATAACCTTTTAAGAAAAAATTATAGAAAGATGTCATGGTTCTGCTGTGCATTCTGTTGGGTTAATTTTTCTGCTGATTCTCTCAATGCCTGGTTATTATTTAAAAATTAAGGAGATGGAGCAGTGACATGGATTGATATATATTTTTCATCTCTTCAGCAAGTATTTTTTAGTCTACTGTGTGCCAAACAGACACTTTTCTAGACTAGAAAAGAGTGATGAATAAAATAAATTTCATGGCCTCATGGAATATACATTCTAAAGAAGGAGTCAAGTAAAATACTTAATTGTAATGATAATATCTGAGCATTTCAGTTTTTATTATTACTATTAATACTGGTGGTGGTGGTGGTAGTAGTATTAGTATATTTATGGAATATATACTGCCTGACTGGGTGGCTGGCAGCAAAATGACCTCATCTTATACTACACTGGCCATTCCTCATTCTGCTTTAGCCACACTGGCCGGCTTCATGTTCCTGGAGCCTATCAAACACGTATTCCTGCCTTAGGGCCTCTGCAATGGCTGTTCCCTGTTGCTGGAACACTATTTCCCCAGATGGCGTCCCTCATCTCACACTTATCGCCTTCTCAGTGAGGGTCACCCTGGTCACCCTATCTCAAATAACAACTCGATGTCTCCATCCCCCAATGCTGAATCCCCCTTTCTCTGCTCTACTTCTTTTATCCCATAGCACTTATCACCTCCAGTCTACTATGTAATTTAGTATTTTTAGTTTTTACCTGTCTCCTTCTATTGAATATAAAATCTGGAAGGTCAGGGATCTTAATGTGAGTTGTTTACTGGATTGGTCCAAACAACTAGAACAGAACTAGCACAGAGTAGGCCCTCAACAAATATTTATCCAATGAGAAGAGGTCAGGGAGGATTGGGGGCAAAGATGTGACACGAGTTAGTCTAAGTTTTAACAGAGTCATTGACTGCTGAGCAGAGAGTGGTTTAAGGGGTTTTGGAGTGCAGTTGAAGGGTCACCACTGAGGAAGCGACTGTATTATCATTAACAAGTGAAACCAAGGGATGAGAATGGTAGTGATGGAGGAGGTGAGAAGTGGTAGAATATGTCACATATGAAAACTGTACGCCTTAATAAAATTATAATAAAATTGGGTGCTAAATAATGCTGATGTTTTATAATTACATCAGTAAATGGTGAATGTCACCTAAGCATCTCCTACATGATTTAAATAACAATAGAGCCTTTAACAGATATCACGTCCACAGATGTAAAATTACTTTCATTCTTTAGACTCATTCTTTAGACTAATAATTTACATCGAAATATGATTGAAAACTTAAAAATAGAAAATTCCTTTGTCTTTTCCATGAATAACCTGACACAGAGAGAGAGAGATGAAAACACAGCTTCAAAGAATGAACATATAACATGGCAATTTTTCAAAATGGTTTTTGATGTTTTTTATTGCATTCAAAATAGATTGAATTTTTAAACAAACATATGATTCAGCTGTTAAAACCACCACCAAATAATGATGTGTGTCTCTTATACAAAGACACCGAAAACATTTATATTGATTAAGTCCAGCAGCACTGCCCCACTGGAAACAGACTCTCTGAAACTGCACCAGTAACCCAGAAGTCAGCAGGAGACACTTATCAACAACAAACATTATGTCTCAAAGGTGTACCAGAATCAAGCTCCTTAGAACCAAGCCCCAGAGCTAATTTACTCCAATATTGGACAAAATTCGAACATGGTAGCATTGCTAATATGGCTTATCAGTCTTTGGAATAATAAAAGTAACAAAGTAAAGGTACAGATAGGTTATTAGAGAATGTCTCAGTGACTGTGGCAAAAAAAGAGAAAACCATGGTATTTGAGGGAGGAAAAAATTCTATTTGTGTATACATGAAAAAAAATATGATATATATAGATATAGATATTCAAAAACTAAAAATACTTAAAAGCCCTAGCACTCTAGAGCTGTTTTGCCTTACCCACACTACAACTTCTAAAAGTATTGCCACATAACTGCAAAGGGCGCTGATCAACTTTCTTAACTAAGATCCAGACATTTTAAAAATGATCGATTATGTCTGGCATACTCAGTTGTGAATGACGATGGAGTGTCTTGTGCATTTTAGAATGATTTCTTTGAGAAATGATTAAAGTTTAAATGGTCTTGCAATCAGGGTATTTTCAACTTTAGTTATGTAAAAAAAAATGTTAATTTTAATAGTGCATTGCTTGAAGATGCCAAAGGTTGTAACTTGTAGAGTTAAAACTACCTATTCTGAGAAAAGATGAAACTCTTTTATTATCACAGACAGTTATGTTTGCTGTCTGGTGCTTACTTCTTGCATGCAAAAAAAAAACCAAACAAAAAAAAAAACAAGAGAAAGAGAAAGAAAGACTCAGCCTCAAGAGAGTGAACAGTGACAGACTGAAAATTGGAGATGAAAACACAGTGTGCTCGCTCACTGTGGGAAGCATTGTAGGGTCAGTGGCCTGCTACATGAGGCACTGCAAACATTTTGGCTCAAATCCAGCCTTACACTCTGTAATTAGAACATCGCTACTTTTAGTCTCCACCCAAGCCACGTATACTTGTGGTCTGTTTTATGAGGTTTTCGTTGCAATTTGCACTGTGATCTCTCATATAAGACACTATGGTAGGGGGTATAGACCTCCGTTGATTCTAATATAGGGAGAGACTGACAGTAAGTTTGGACTAAATAGTCTTATTTCTTCAAGGAATATCTTTAGACTACTATATACAAGGCATTTCTGTAAAACTAAAAATACCCTAATGATAAATATTTTCTAAGCTATAAAATATAACAGACATCAGTTCTTTAGTTAGGGTGGGTGAGATCCCAGGAAGACCATCCCGGGTCTTCAGAGGGCTCGTGAGCCTGCTGAAATTATATGCCACTGTGTATACATTTATTTTTCCAGGGAAAGGATCCAAAGCTTGCGTACCACTTTTAAAGCATCTATGATACTCCCCTCCAAAAAATTTCTTTAAAAATATTAAAATCACTGTTTTTCAACTATAACACAAGTATAGGAAAATGTTCAGCATGTTTCCAATCCATTTTTAAGGACAATAGAGTCCACATATCTCAGCATTTTTCTTTGTCCAACCCATCTTCTAGTTAAATATTATCCAGATGGCCTAGGCCTTAAATTTCGTTTAGGCCAATGGATAAATTACAGGCTTTGGAAACAGACTTTTTGGATTCAAATCCTGACTCAGCCACTAACTAGCTAGGTGAGCTCAGTTAACTAATATAACTCCTCACAGTCTCAGTTTCCTTATCTGAAAAGTGGGACCAATCCTCATACCTGCCATCGAAGGATGAAGTGAGGGTTGAGGAGATCATGCAAGTAAAGTCCTTCCCACAGTTCCAGATCCTGACCCTGACTTTAAGTATTTCATCAGCCTTACTTTTGATGAGTTTTAATGAGTCACTAATAAAATACTTAATGTGGAGAGTTTTTTATAGTATGAATAACCACCTAGTGGTCTTTTGATTACAGTGAAAATTATCACATTTTTAACTCTCCTTTATCAATCATCAAAATTCAGAGCTCAGACACCTGCATTGATGCTTCATGGCTAAATTCATTTTTTGGCTAAAAATTTTATATGTGAGCATTTTCACACTGTGATTTTTTTGTTTTAACCATGTAACTAAAGGAAGAAACCTAAGCTGTTGATCAATGCACAATAAACCCACTAAAACATTACCCCAGTTTTTAGGCCACAATGTAAAATTGAAAAGGTACTTGTATAAACATAAATAAATGTATTGGGTTTATAGGCGAAGGACATATAACACACATATAGTTTTATGGGCAATTTCTGTTTCCTTACAAGGATAAGAACTATAAGAAAATTAACAAATTTGTTTTAGATGTTTCTCTTTTTTTCCCCACAGCTCTTGTAGTGAGATTTCTGACCAAACGTTTCATCTGGGAATATGATCCCACCCTCGGTAAGTCCAATTTTGTTTTCTCCTCCTTTCCAAAGTTTACGCCCCATAAGAAAGAATGACATTTTCTGTTGCAACATTTTTAAGCAACTTGCAGATGTTTTGGAAGTGCTTTGTCGAATCATGCAAAGAATTTCTCTAAGAAGCTAGACGTACGTGTGTTGCATGCTGTCTGTGCTTAAAACCCTGAAGGATTTTAATGAGTAAAGGAAAAAATCAGTTCCAACCAGAGACAAGAGGGCAGTGGGTACAACCTGATGCGCTTCTGTTAGAAAACATGGCGTCACTCTAATGGGAGAAAGAGAATACAGTAGCCATGGCTAGTTTGATGTGGGATAGAATGGCATGCTGAGGAGAGTACAATGGTAAAATTAAACTTGTAAATAATGATGCTGGGAAAATGTATATATAAAACTGTGTCCCCTCGGTTGGTTAAGAGCTCGCTCAAGAGTTTGAACTCTGAGCAACAGCGGTTCAGGTCCCGGCCCGAGCTGAGCAGCCGCTGAGCTGCCAACAGGTGGCAGGATGGCTCAGCTAAAAAAAAAAAAAAAACAAAAAAAACTGTGTTCCTTCCCCTCTTCTCTCCAGTGAGTCTGATTTAAGCCTATTTAAAAATACAAAAGGAGCAGAAAATGGATATCTGTGCATCTTGAAAGTAGGAATAATGTTGACATATGATGTTCATTACATATATTTTTCATAGTCCAAAACAGAGTATGTATTAGAAGTATATTTTGTTACCATCTTCAAAATAATGCTGCAAATCTAAATTAAGCTTCAGGTTTTACTCTGAATGAAACCTTTGAGCATTTGTTTGTTATGCTTCAGGAGGACCCCAGCTGGTTTCATAAAGAGCAATAACTTTGAAATCCAGAGGAAAAGGGCAAGACGTACATCATTTCACTATGAGGCATGATAGCCACAGCTGGCCTTACTTAGAATGATGAAATTGGCAAAGATTATTCCTGGGTGGTTTTTTGTTTGTTTGTTTTGTTACATATATTCAATTTAAAAGGAAACATTTTTTCTGTTTTCTTGTGCCTCCTTTCGTTGCTTTTACTTATTCATTCAACAAATATTTGTTAACTGCTTCCTATGTGTCAGATTCTTCTAGGTGCTCAGAATAAATCAATAGGCAGAAAGAGAAAGCCTGTGGCTTGTTTTGAGCTTGCAAGTCTAGTAAAGAAAAGAGAGTCAATAAACAAATATATGTCAAATAGTGATAAATACTATGAAGGAAAATTGAACAGAGAAGGGGACAGAGTGATTTTGTTGTTTCTTTGTTTGACTTTTAACTTTTTAATCTATCTGGAACTTATTTTAGTGAGAAGTAACAGTGAAGACCCAACTTTTTTCCAAATAGTTGACCAATTGCCCTCCTATTATTTATTAAATAGTCCCCACCTTTCCCCACTACTTCCAATTTTGCCTTTTATACAGTTCTCCCTCGGTTTCTATGAGGATTGGTTCTCTTATATAAAGTGACATAGCACTTTCGTATAACTTAAGCTTACCCTCCTGTATAGTTTAAATCATCTCTAGACTACTTATAATACCTAATACAATGTAAATGCTATGTAAATAGTTGTTTTATTGATTGTTTAGGGAATAATGACAAGAAAAAAATCTGTACATGTTCAACACAGATGCATAGTACTATATAGTACTTATCAGCACCAATGTAAAATTTTTTTCAAGTATATTTGATCCGCAGTTGGTTGAATCTGTGGATGCAGAACCTGCAGATACAAAGGGCTGACTATATACTGGCTCATTTACACTAGGATGCAGTTCTAGATTTGCTTTTCATATGCTACACCAGCACCACACTCTTGATAATAGTATGCTCTTTAGAACACATTGATACCCAGTAGAGAAAGTCTTCCTCCTTTACCTTTTTACAAAATTATCTTGGCTACTATCTCCAGTTTATTCTTCCAGGTCAATTTTGAAAACTCCATCATAACACGACATAATTTTTGTTAGAATTGCTTTAAAACTATAAATTACTTTGAGAAGATTCACATCTCTATGATATTCAATCTTTTAATCTAAGAGAACAACGTGTCTCTTACATTTATTCATCTTTACTTCTCTGTTTTTGCTTCTAAGTAAATTGTTTTTCAACATCAATAATTTTGAACAATTTTGTAATATAGCCACAATTTAATCTTAAGATAATATACTTAGATCTAAAAATACATTTGGTTTAAAACAATCATTCATTATATATTGTTTATTCCACCTAAGTAAATACTTACCCTCCTCTTATATTTCTAATACTTATAAAAGCTTTACAAAGTTCCTGAGACTCTTAATGGTTTATGGGAGTTCAGGAGAAAAATACTAATGTTGTTTTTGTTATACCAGTACATTTCAATGAAAGATGAAACTTACAAAAAATGATTTCATAAAAAATTTTGAACTTTCTCTAAATATGTTCCAATAACTAACGTTACAATTTTCAATGTCTTAAGTGAACCATTTTCCCTTTTGTTTTATTCATTGTAAAAAAACAACTCCTATTAATAGAGTTCTGCCTGCATCAGTTATCTGTAACCCAGGCTTCCTTCACTAAGAATAATGAAACTTCATTGAGTGACCTTGTACTGTACCACTCGAAAAGGATTTCAGCTGCTAAGCAACAAGAGTGTTGATCAGACTTTAAGAATATCAGATATATGATTCACTCCCAGGTGAGGGTTTCATTAACTCATGATAGAAACTGGATTTGTGTGTGTGCTCACGTGTGCTACAAGTCACTAATATTCTATCCTCAAGGAGTTTCCAATCCATTTAATCCAAGTCCAGCATTTCCTGGACTTCATACCACCATAGAGTTTCAAATCCACCACCAAAAGGGAAAGCTACATTAAAAACCAAAGTTGAGTATTTGCAAAAAGTAGTCTTGAATTCTGAATTCAGTGCCTTCATTAGAAACATGGGGTAGTTTTTTCAACATGTAACAGAATTATTGCTCCATGAAAAGCTGAAGACCTTAAACACCATTCAGCATAATAACAATATTGGAATATTTACTGCTCTGAAATAACTCTATGAAGGAAATGTTTGCTACTACACCAGCAAGTGATTTCCTAACTTGTAGATTTCAGGACCCATTTTTGTTTGTTTTGTTTTGGTGTTCTGTGTGCATGTGCATGTTCATGTGTGTGTGTTTTATGGAGAGGTAATATCACAGGAATTACAATTAGGGATGTAAGCAAAAGGCAGACAGTAAGGAAAAACTTCATGTATTCACTCCACAGGCACTTGCATTTCATAAGAGAAGGAAATATTTTTTACATTCAAGAGTTTTAAAGGATATCATTTAAGAAAACTGTTCAATCACTTACATTGAACAATTTTAGTTTTCCTTAAAGTTGTTTCACTTCACTGTGGATCAGTGAAATCTTTGTCAGAGGCCAGAGCTGGTCTATGAATGGCATTGGAAAATCACCACTGCAGCCCATAAGATTTGGGACTTAGACCATCTAACCAGGAAAACCTCTTATGGTGGTGGCAGCCATGTTCTGGTTGCAGAACAAGAAGATCCATGTTTCGATTAGGTCCCAGAATCTCTCTGAGAGTCACATTACCCTCTGAAAAGACTGATCATGGCCAAAAATACAGACAAAAACTTTGATTGTATTCAACTGAGTGTGTGCGTGTTGGTGGCCATTTAGAGAAAAAGAGATGGCATTTCAGCACCTGCCACATAGGAGGCACCCTACTCTGTGTTTAAATGGATCATGGTGTCTATCTGGTTATAAGGACTCAGACAAGAGTGAGGGTAGGAACTGGGAGACACACTGGGCTCAAAGATGATTCTATTCTGTGATTGGTTCTTCCTGCCTGCATTGCATACAGTTCCCTCTGCTTGGCAAAGCCCAAATAAAGGAAGGGACACACCCAGAACAAACTCTCTCAACTACATACTGAAGCAAAAGTGCTTAACCGACTCAAAGAATTATTTAATGTTGGCACAGCAAGGAACTTTGAGATCGTCATTTGACAAATGAAAACAAGTCCAATAAAGTAAGTTTATCCATGATTATGTGGCAAGTTTGTGGTTAGACCAGCAATAGCACTCAAGTCAGTACAATTTCCACTCTAGCACAAATCAACATTACTAACTGCTGTTGTTACTATATTGACCAAATGTCCATATTGATATGTTAAAATTTCCACACACAAAAAAGCTAAGCTAGTGAAAGGATTAACCATAAACGACATCCCTTCGAGCATCGACTTCTCTTAGAATATACAAAATATACTTCTGTTTATAAAACTGTTTATAAAAATGTTACTGAGTGTGGATTTAAAATCATGTATCTCTCATATACAGTGCAACTCAGGTATCATTTTTAATATGCCCTAATGCCAACTTGACACTAATATTGGTCTTATAGTATATAATATTTTGGTTCATTTAGAAGTATCTCTTAAGCAATCATACCCCTACCCTTCATGAAAAAGACTCAAAATGACCATTTTCGGTAAGGGTGAGCAAAAAGCAAAGTATTTCTACCCTCCAAATACATGCACACTTTCTCTAATGTTTTAAAATGGATAGTAGAGCTTAGTTCCAACAAGTACTTAATACAATTTTTAGAATTATCTTTAGAAAAGATAGCACATGAATGTACAACATTTTGCCCCTGTGGGTAACGCTTCCACTTTTTTATATATGGTTAGGGGTTCCTAAGGAGAGAGAGAGATGCTCAAAGAAAAAAATGCTCAAAATGGCATGAACCCAGGACCTAGCTTGGATGAAATTACTGCTGCCACCCGCGGCTATGTCTGTGGCAGACATTCCCTCATTTCCTGCATTTCATCGTTTTCGTTTCAGTTAACAAACAGCCAAAGAATCACACAACTTCACACAATTTCCATTATATTCTCTTTCCCCCTACTGCGGTCTTCTGTGGTTGAAATACATATCCTATTTATCATGGAAGCAAGAGAGAAATGTCCCTGTCTGTCAGACTTTTGGTGCAAAGAGATGGAAGAGAGCCCAGAACGCTGTTTTCCAGGCTCCAGAGCTGATGCCAGTCCTTTGAAAAGGGAGGCAGCACAAAGGTCATTAGAGAACAGTGGCGGGAGAGACAGAAAGGGCATGGATTCTAGCATGTGGGCTGCCTCTCCTCCCCAAGCTGGGACTCTGAAGATGAAAAAGAAAACAAATGAGAGAAGTCTTGTAGATGAGTAGTTGCTGTAAATGGTATTTTAGAGTATTAAATCACTCAAGACCATAATCTGCCATTTAACATAAAAGACTGGGATGGAATGTTTTAGAATTGAGAATCATTGTACACACCATGTATGGATTACAGATTTCAGGAGAAAGACAATAATAAAATACGCTTATTAAAATATATTGAACATAGTCTCATTTTTTAATTTTAACTTTCACAAAATACTTCAGCAATGGGTCGTGCCTGTAGCAATGACCATTATACAGTGCTGATGACAGGTAGAAGACTAGGTCATGCTACTTGGTTAAGCCTCCTCTCTGCAATTCACATTTTGAGTAGATTATATTTACAGCAAAGTACATGAAGCTGGGGTCAAAAAAGAACTGTAAAATAATTGATGAGATGAAGAAATGAAAATCAGAAACATGAGATAGATAGGAAAAAACAAAACAAAATAAAAGCACTGGCTTAGAGGCTACCCTGATGGGTAGTGATGTGGGTAGTTTAGGCACAAATAATTGAATCAATGCTGAAGTTAATCATGCTGCTCTGTTCCTGGCACCAAGTCACCTGTACGTGAAACATTTATTTCCTTTTATTTTTCCTACATTCCCTATTCTGACACCATAGCTCTCCTCTTTCCCATTATACAATGTAATATGATTGATACTTACCATAATGGTTAAAAGCCAAAATTCCCAGAGCCAGTCTTTCTGGGTTCCAATCTCAACTCTACCACTTACCACTGTGTAACCTTCGGCAAGTTATTTAATGCTATTGTGCCTCAGTTTCTCATGTAAAGTGGAGCTAATGGTAATATATACTTCATGAGATATTTGTGAGGATTAAATGAGCTAATATGAGTAACATTTAGAACAATCTTGTTCAAATGGTAAGCAGCATGTGCTAGCTAATATATATATTTTTGAAAAGTGTGTTTTTGTGTATGCATATATTTTAAATTTATATAAATTTTGTCTTGCTATAGACCTACCATAAAGGCAATCATGTGATTTTTTTCCCCTTTAGTCTTTTAATGTGTTAAATCGCATTGATAGACTTTAAACACTCTGCATTCCTGAAATAAACTCTACTTGATAATGATATACTTTTCTTATTACAGCTCTAGGATTCAATTGGATAATATTTTATTTAGAATTTTTGAATCTATGTTTAAGAATGAAACTAGCCTATGAGTTTCTTTTCTTTTTTCTCTTATTACTCTTGTAATACTTCTTAGAGTCAGCATAATGCCCCATAAAAGGAATTAGGTAGCTATCCTTCTTCTATTTTCTAGAACTTGTTTAATGTTTAATAGAAATCTCCTATAAAGTCGATTGGATGTAGTTGCTTTTTATGATTATGGGAGATCTACAGTTAGTATTTAAATTTATTTACTGGCTATGATCTAGTTAAGTGTTCCATTTCTTATTGCTCCAATTTATGTATTTTTTCTCCTAGAATTTATCAGGGCTTGAAATTTGTTGGTATAGAGTGCATAATATTATTTTATTTTTATTTCATCAGAATATGTATTTCCTCTTTTTGTGCTAAATTTTGCTTGATCGCACCTTTTCTCTTAATTTGCAAGTTAATACTGCCAGACTTTTACCTCTCCCCAACCTTTATTTTAACCTTGTCAAGCACCATGTATTGGTTTTGTTAACCCTGCCTAATTTTTCTGCTTTTTTCTCCTTTACTTCTGTCTTCATACCTTCTTGGATGTATTCTGTTTTCCTCTTCTAATTTGTTGAGTTGAATACTTAGCCTTCTTTTTTTCTGTTCTTTCTTTCTATCATGTCATCTTCCGGAATAAGATAAGTATATTAAAACCTGTCCCTGGTCTCTTCCCCCAGCTCCTCCATGATATATGGTATTATCTAGAATTGTAACTCTGGATTGCTTCTGATATAGTTTTATTGCTTTGCTTCTCTCCACTGGGATCTTGAATTCAGTTTTGCTGGTGAGACGTCCAGTGTTAATCTGAGTCATGTCCTTTTGTAAAATGATGTGCTTTTTCCCTCGAGATTCTTTAAAATTTTCCTCTTTGCCTTTGATAGCCTTACATTTTGGGTTGAGATACGGGACTTTTTTCTTTATGTGTCCTGTTAGTCCTTTGGATCTGAAATTTTTCGGTGCATCTTACCCTAGGAAATTCTGTTATTACAACCTTAAATGTTTTTACTCCTTTATGTATCTTATTCTCTCTTTGAGGCTCATTTTATAAGAGATAATATGTCTATTTCTTTTATCTATATCTCTTCTATTTTACTTTTACATTTCCCTTCTTGTTATTTACTGATACCTTCTGGGAGAGTTCCTCAACCTGACCTTCACCAACTCAGTCAATCATTTGTTGCTTTATTTATTTCAACTGTTCCAGTTTTCCTGTAGAGCCGCACAAGTTGGTCTTTCTTTTAACCTCTGGTTTCCATTTCATGTGGTAAGGGTCACATTCAGAGCCACCCAAATATGTTGCACCTGCTACCTTCTCACCCCAGGAGAGCTTGGGGACCCTTCTGATATTTATCTACCAGTCTCCAGCTGGTACTGGGCTATGATCATTTTTCTACCTTGAGGAGGCAACATGAGCAAAAGAACTCTGCCTTGTTCTATCCCCCCTCCATGCTGTTCAGCCCTCCTCTACTTTTCTTGCTAATGCCCAAGTACTGGAATTCAATGACCTTGTACTGCCACAGGGGTTTCTCATAGTTTTCCACGGTCAGTTTTTACATGTCTGTATCATTTCTAGGGTTGAGGTCTGGAAGGAAATGAACAACTCCTGCTTATGTGTCATCTTCTTAAGAACAGTAATTAACAGTGATTTCCAGAAACTAGGTTTTTAGGAGTATCAAGATAGAATGAATTTGGTGGGAATCACTTTCTCATTTTAGGATGTGGAGGCCTCATTTTAGAAGGGAGAGCCCACCAGGAAGCTGGCTTCATAGGAGAATAAAATGAGCAAAGAGACTCTCCCATACTATACCCTGAAGTCTACGGCTCTCAAATTATTAGGTTGGTGCAAACATAATTGCTGTTTTTGCATTGTTGAAATTTGCCTTTAATATTGGAATACATTCTTAAATAAATGTGGTTATGTTATACATAATTTTAATGTGCATTTCTCACTTCATGTTTTTTTTGCTAATGACGTCACTTGCTGTTTATTTTATATGTATTTTAGACTATGGAAATGATGTTAGACAAAAAGCAAATTCAAGCAATTTTCTTACTTGAGTTCAAAATGGGTCGTAAAGAAGTGGAGACAACTCGCAACATCAACACATTTGGCCCAGGGAACTGCTAACAAATGTACAGTTCAGTGGTGGTTCAAGAAGTTTTGCAAAGGAGACAAGAGTCTTGAAGATGAGGAGTGTAGTGGCCGGCCATCGGAAGTTGACAACGACCAACTGAGAGCAATCGTCGAAGCTGATTCTCTTACAACTACACGAGAAGTTGCCGAAGAACTCAGCGTTGACCATTATATGGTCATTTGGCATTTGAAGCAAATTGGAAAGGTTAAAAAACTCATTATGTATGTGCCTCATGAGCAGACCAAAAATCAAAAAAATCGTCGTTTTGAAGTGTCATCTTCTCTTATTCTATGCAACAACAATGAACCATTTTTCCATCGGATTGTGACATGTGATGAAAACTGGATTTTATATGACAACCAGTGATGCCAGCTCAGTGGTTGGACCGAGAAGAAGCTCCAAAGCACTTCCCAAAGCCAAACTTGCACCAAAAAAAGGTCATGGTCGCTGTTTGGCGGTCTGCTGCCGGTCTGATCCACTATAGCTTTCTGAATCCCAGCAAAACCATTACATCTGAGAAGTATGCTCAGGAAATCAATGAGATGCATCAAAAACTGCAACACCTGCAGCTGGTACTGGACAATAGAAAGGGCCTGGACAATAGAAAGGGCCTAATTCATCTCCATGACAATACCTGATTGCACGTCACACAACTAACATTTCAAAAGTTGAATGAATTGGTCTATGAAGTTTTGCCTCACCCATCATATTCATCTGACCTCTCGCCAACCGACTACCACTTCTTCAAGCATCTTGACAACTTTTTGCAGGGAAAACATTTCCACAACCAGCAGGATGCAGAAAATGCTTTCCAAAGAATTTGTTGAATCCCAAAGCATGAATTTTTATGCTACAGTAATAAACTTATTTCTCATTGGCAAAAATGTGTTGATTGTAATGGTTTCTATTTTGACTAATAAAGATGTGTTTGAGCCTAGTTATAATGATTTAAAATTCACGGTCTGAAACTGCAATTACTTTTGCACCAATCTCATAGAACCTGTTACTTCCAGGAGCTCTAAGAATACAAAGATGGCACATTTTTGCAAATTCATCCTTTCCTTCCTAGTGTGCACATGTCCTACAAAGCCAGACATACTCCTGTGGCCAATTTGTAATTTTAAGGATCAAATCAAACCATGCACTTAATTATCTTTTTATCTTCTGTTTTTTTTGTTTGTTTTTTTCTCATTCCCTCAGAATCAACCTACCGGCACCAAGCAACTATCGATGATGAAGTTGTCACCATGGAGATACTAGATACTGCTGGTCAGGTGAATAAGAAGTGCAGCTAAAATATTTTCTAAAGCAAATAAAAATGAGACATGCATAGTATAAACAAAAGACATTTTCCTACAATTAATCATGATGCCTAAAGACTTTATCCTTTAATTATCTAAGTATTGATATGTTAACATATTTGTAACATCTCGTGTGTGTATCCTTATGTGAATTACTTAGTACTTCAAGGGGGTTGTGAAAATACCATAACATTCACATCATATCATCTAGACTACAATTGCCCACCTATATTTTTGGGGATTGCAAGATATTAGATTTTCATGGTTAAAAGTGTTTTGAGGGCACCCCAGTCGGGACCCACTCTCGTTTTGAGAGCTATAACTTTCTGCTCTTAATAAAACTATCCTCTGCTACAAACTTTAAAAAAAAAAGAGTGTTTTGAAATGCTCTAGTAAAGCTAAACAGGTATCTTTACTGGAAAAGTTCTCAGAGCCTTTAACATGCTTATGTGTAAGGTTAATCCTTAAGGGATTTAGTATATATTATATTCCATACTTATAGGAACTCAGAATCTTTTTTAAGACTACTTTATTTTAGAAATCTCTCCTGTTATATTTTTTCCAGACCTCACCACATCCTATTGAAAATTTGAGCCATATCATTGAACAATAACAATTTATTTAAAATGGAAACTAATATAAATTATAATAGTTTTAAGTTCAATCGGTTCTGAGATTACAAACATGTTCATAGGTATAGTTCCCAAGCATAGGAATGACCACCAGGAAAGAGAATTAGGAAGCTGAAGGATTCCATGGGGCTTTTCAGTGAACTATGACCCAAGAAACGTTCTCATAACTAATTATACACTTTTCTTTCTCATCATCACCTCTTTCCTACACACAGCCTCACCTTCTACCCAGAACTGATTCTACAGAGAATCAGGGAAATACGTACATGCCTACAGAAGTTATTCAAGCCCACGAAGCAATGCATTTTCTAATCACACATGCTACCTTCCTAGGAAGGCATAATCTGAAAATCACTTCAAATTGGTTTCTGTCATTAGTGGGACTGCATCATATTTTTGAAATATTGAGTTAGGGGGGGAAAGCCAAAAGTCCCTGGCTTTGAGTTTGACTGTCTATACAATTTTCCACTGTTTTTCTGCTCCTGGTGGGCTACGTGTGTCTATAACCTGAAGAGAGAGGAGATAAAAACAAAACAAAACCAAAATACCAAAACCATTTTACTAAACTGTGCCTGTAAGTCTGATCTCTAAAAGGTACAGTAAGGTCTACTTGTCTGTTACCTGTTTGCTAATCCTTTAATTGTGATGGGAAGTCTCAGAGGCAATGTGTTCAATTAAGATGATAATTTCTTTACAGTTCTTGTGATTCAAGATTTAATGATGTGGCAAGAAAAAACTAAAAGCAGAAAGTTAAGGTCTATGCAGCTAGAAAATGTTGAGTTCCCTGAAATAGCTTGCTCTGAGTAAGTAATGCTTCTATTCCAAACTGATTGAGAAGATACGCATGTACAAGCAGATTATCAAGAAATTTGAATGACACTGACTATAAGGAATAGTAATTAAGCGACCGCTATTAGCATTAGCAGCATCTATAGATTGTGAATACTACCAGGTCTCCCGACTGCCATTTTTTTTCTTGCCAACAGGAAGACACCATTCAGAGGGAAGGACACATGCGGTGGGGGGAAGGCTTTGTGCTGGTCTATGACATTACCGACCGAGGAAGTTTTGAGGAAGTGCTACCACTGAAGAACATCCTGGATGAGATCAAAAAGCCCAAGAATGTGACTTTCATTCTGGTTGGAAACAAAGCTGACTTGGACCACTCCAGACAGGTCAGTACAGAAGAAGGGGAGAAACTGGCCACAGAGATGGCGTGTGCTTTTTATGAGTGTTCTGCCTGCACCGGAGAAGGGAACATCACCGAGATATTCTACGAGCTGTGTCGAGAGGTTCGGCGCCGGAGGATGGTCCAGGGCAAGACGAGGCGACGCAGCTCCACCACGCACGTCAAGCAAGCCATTAACAAGATGCTCACCAAGATCAGTAGTTAGGCAGCTCTGTTCTCATGAAGGCCCTGCTGAGGTGGGTTGGGGAATTGGAAACGCTTTCTGGCCCTTTTTCCCCTTTTTATCCTCCAAAATAAAATACTCCATTCCTTGTTCTGACTCAGAGAAATGTCTGGGCTTGCTCTTGCTCCCAGCCTCCTGTACGTTGAGAAGTTAACACGAGTGTTTTATGCAATTTCAGTGCAGACGATTCCTCTTTTTCCTGCTTGAATAAGATACCTTTTATTGCCGTCTGAACATGTAATCACCAGAGACTCTGAAATGGCTGGGTTCATATTAAGCTATTTTTAAGCATCTTCACCTTGCTTCTGTAGGTTGACGTTTTTTCCAAAGGCATTTTAAAATTCTATTTCTTGTGAAAGACTATAAATGATTGCCTTAAAAGTCTAAGATAATAGAAAATACAGTAAAAACCCAGGAAGGGTAACTGGAATATTGGAGCCCTAGTTCCTATTTGAAGCAAGGATTTTTTTTTTCTGAGCTATCTTAAATTATCTAGTCTTTCTTTAACCTTTACTTTGTTCTCACAAGGCTTTCCATTGTGTAAGAGAGTTCCATTTCAATTTGAGTTGGCTCTCTCAATGACCAAGTGATCATCACACCCTATTTCTTCTTCCATAGCTCCAACAAGATTTAATTATAATAGGGGCAGCAGTACCCCTCGATTCTGTTCCTGCTAGTCCCTTTCTCACCAAGCCTGGAGTGATGTAAAGACATTAGGAATCTTTTCACCAAATCCTGACTTTATTGAATGCTAACAGAGTATATCAGGAATCTTTTCACCAAATCCTGACTTTATTGAATGCTAACAGAGTATATCGTAAGCGATGTCTGATTCATTTTTCTTTCTCTGCTTATCATCGTAGCAGAAAGACAACAGACCAAAAGCAAGAAAAATTAGGAGTGAAGCTTAACTACCCTTCTGTTGGGGAGCCAAGGCTCTTTGCTAGGCGCCGTAAGAAAAATTAGCCTGTGGCTCTTTAAGTTGGTTACATGGCTTCTTCTAATATGTTGGAGAAATTAAATCACTGAGGAGAATTCGGAAAAGAATAGGTGATTAAAGTTCACTATACCTGAATAAATGTGTATAAAACAGATTCTTATATTGTGAAAACATGGTCTATAACTAATAAAACTTTATGATTCTTTTTTTTCCTTATTATCTCCCCATATATCAAGATTTAGGCACTTTATTTTAGAAGAAAATATATATCTTTTACATATGTGTGTATTTATAAATGCATAGGATATATGTATAAAAATTTGTAAGAGTTGGAGGCTTTAATTCACCAATGCGTTTGTACAACTTGGTGTAACTATTTTATGTGAATATAATAAAAAAACATAATTTTCACATTCTCTCACATTAGGATGGTCTTTCTTATAATAACATGAAATGTTTGTAATTTTAGGAGAGACTTGAGGGTATAATTGAAATGCAGAATTGATGAATCAGTGAACATGGTATAAAAAATAAGCTTTCTTTCATAATAATAGCTACTATTTTCAAATGCTTAGGTGCTATTTTAAGCACTTTATGTATTATCTCATCTAATCCTCACAATAACCTTATGCAAGAGATACTATTATGATTACAGTTGTAGGGATGAAGGTATTGAGCCACAAGAAAAAACAAGTTTGCACAGCTATTTAATGGGTAGAGCCAGGATTTAACCCAGAAAGGCAAAGTCAGACCCGGAGCCCATACTTATTATCCATAGGATATTAATAGACTGAGATACGGCTCTTGTTTTTGAGCTGCGGGGATGAAGACACAGGAAGGAGAAAATTTAGGAAAGACTTGCTTCATTTATGCTTTCAAATACTAACAAGTATTTATATATGTTAGACATGTAACTTGACACAAGTTAGTCCATTTGATTGTATCTGAGCTGAACCTTGAAGAATATATACAAGTTATTCAGGAAAAAAAAGATGGTGAAAATATTCTAGGCAAAAGGATTAGCATGAATCCAAAATATGGAGACACAAAAGGTGACGGTAACTGTAACAATTCAAAGCAGTTTACAGAGCCACATATACCATTCTTCAGGGAAAAAATGGAAGGGATAACAGAGGGAAGGAATTAAAAGAAAGAAAAAGAATAAGGGGTTTCGAAGTAAGGAAAAAAAGCAAAAATTCATTAAACTGCACTAAATTTAGGTAATCACATATTAAAGGACCAAGTAGGTAACTTAGCTGTGATTGACTTTCAGTAATGTCCATGTAGACAGGGTAGGAAAAATGAAAGCTGATTAAGATTATTTTTCCAATGTTCCCAGCTTCTAGCATCACAATCTCTTTTATTTTCTCATACCTATACTTGGAGATGACGCTCAGCCAGTTCCTATTAAGAGCAAGCTCCTAAAAAGACATAATGAATACCTGGGTGCCATCTTGGGTCAAACACTAAGGAAGTAAAATGTATAGTCACCGACACCAGCAACTTCCCTAGACATATGCATACAAATCCAGACCTGTTGAAAAATCATAGAACCACTGGCTCTAGTCCCAACTGGTAATTACAGAAGAACATGATATTGCACAAATACAAATTAGTTATCCCTTTTATGCTCCCGGCTTCTCCACATATAAAGGTTATAAACAGTTGTTTCTTTAAACAGCATTTTAGTGATGGAAACTGTGTGTTCTTGAATAATAGTGGTGGGTTGTTATTACCACTATCACCACACTACCACTATCAGTATTTGCTGTTTCCTTTTCTTTTAAGACTCAAAAGACTTTATTTTCAAATATTGTGTTTGTACTCATATGCCTCAGAGCACTGAGAGAAGGAGCCCATAATTCAGGACCTCTCTTTTAAATAATGTGTGTGATGCTTACACATACATAAATAAACACAGCATCTTGGGTTCTAAGTACGTATAATACCAAGTTTTCTTATTAAAACAGCCTATACCCACTTTGAGGATAACAAAAAAAGTAGCCAGTTCACTGGGTCAAATTTAATCAGAGTAACATTGAATTTAGTTGTCCTAAGCTAATAACCTTTTGGGAGATACTGAGGGAAATAAATAACTAAATACCAAAAAAATAAATATATTTTAAATATCTTTTCCCCATAGGTTTGAAATGCTACATTTAGCAAATTCTGTATTTCCATATATATATATATATATATATATATATATATATATATATATATATATTTCTGTTTTTTTATTATACTACCTGATTTTAAATGCTTATTATAAAGCCACACTAATCAAGATAGCATGTTGCTAGTGTAAAAATAGACATATAGACCTATGGAACAGAATAGAAAGGCCACAGATAAAGCCACACTCATATGGTCAACTGATTTTTGACAAAAGCACCAAGAAAATTCAAAGGGAAAAGAATATTCCTTTCAACAAATAATGCTGGAACAATTTCATATGCATCTGCAAAACAAATAAACATCAACCCATACTTCACATCATATACAAAAATTAATTCTAAATGGATCATTGACCTAAATATAAGAGCTAAAACCATGAAACTTCCATAAGAAAACTGGAGAGAATCTTTGTGACCTTGAGTTAGACAAGGATCTTTTAGAACAAAACAGGCACCAATGAAAGCAAAATTTAAAAATTTATCATTTTAAAAAGCTAAGAGAATGCCACAACAAGCCAGACTGGGAGAAACAGATGTGAAAAATATATAAGTAATCAAGAATTCATATCTAGAAGATATAAAGAACTCTTAGAACTCAACAAGATGAAAAATATGGTTAAAATATTGGTCAAAAGTTTTGAGTAGATAATTCACCAAAGAAGACATACAAATAATTACATGAAAAGATGTTCAACGTCATTAGACATTAAAGAAATGCATGTTAAAATGACAATGTATTACCAGTACACACCTAGTATAATGGCTAAAATTTAAAAAGACTGACAATACACGTGTCAACGAGGCTGACTATATCCAGGAACTCTCATACATGTCCACTGGGAATGCAAAATGATACAGTCATTTTGTAAAACCATTTTCCAGTTAATTATAAAGTTAAACATATATTTAACATACAACTCAGCAACCCTGTTCCTAAGTATGTCCCAAGACAAATGAAAATCCATGTTCACATAAAGACCTGTCTGCTAACATTGATAGTAGCTTTATTCATGATTGCTATAAACTGGCGACTCAACTTTCCATCAATGGGTGAGTGAATAAGCAAACTATGGTGTATCTTCACCATGAAATATCACTAAGCAATAAAAAATACAAACTATTGGATGTTTCACAAACCTAAGTAAAAGAAGCCAGACACAAGATACTACATATGATAATATTCCATCTATACAAATTCCAGAAAAAGAAAACAATCGTAAAGCAGATCTGTAGTTACCAGAGTTTGAAGATAACAGGCAGGAATAGAGCACAGAGGGCTCAAGAGAATGAAAATATCCTATATCGTGTTTGTTGTGGGAGTTATATGTCTATATGCATTTTCTAAAATTCATCAATTTGTAAAATTAAAGATGGTTTATTTATTGTTTGTAAATTATATTTCAAAAATTCTGATTAGAAAGAAACACTGGTCATTTGGGAATTTAGCAAGGAGGGCAAATCAAAGAAAGCTATCCTGACATCTATTTAAAACAAATGTTCAACATCTCAGAATAGGTTTATAATTTGCATCTTTTCTACTCTTAATAAAATATCAATACTGTGCATCTCAACTTGGAACAAATATATTTCCAGAGCTCAATAGCTACATGTGGCCAGTGACTACTGTCGTGGATGATGCAGCTTTAGAATATTTTGATTAACATCTTTTGAGTCTAAATTTTCCTTTATTCGAACAAATCGAGTCACTAAAAAATATGAAATTAGAATTCTGGATTTTAGATGTGAATGTGTTCTTTGTAATCACTTAACACAATCCTCTCAATTCTATAGCAAAGTAACAAAATAGCAACAGACTTGGAACACGGGTCCCTGGATGGCTAGGTTACATTTTCCTGGTCCCTGATATACTATACTGTTTTATAATAGAAATATTAGGATTAAATTTATAAAAAGAAGTGTTAGCTTTACCTTAAAAAAATCATTACAGTATTCCCCTTAAAAACTGTCCACCTCCGGAAAATTCA